CCTCCTGGTTCTGAATGCCATGCAGCCACCGGCAATAGTCAGCCATTCACTCTCCTCCCTCCCACAGCAAATCCCTTTGCAAGACATTCAGGAAAACAAAACAAAACAAAAAAGCCCAATCGGTTACCTTTCTGTAGGTTCAGAGACTTGAAATAGGAAATTTGGCTCCCTCTCCAAAGCCTTCTGGTGGTGTGAAAAGAGCCAACCATCATATTTTCCTGTTTATGGATTCCCTCCTTCTCACACATCTGGAATAATGCGATGGTGGGGAACAGTGTTACGCCTTTTTTTTTCTTACTGCTTTGCCAGTGCCAGTCCCTGTGAAACTACACAGAATGTTTTAATGTATTTTTCTTTCTGTCTGGGAAGAGACTTGTTTTTTTTTTTTTTTTTTTTTAAATCACACTAAGAACCAATTCCTTTAAGGTCTGTGTCTGGGAATTAGGTTAATGGGAAGAATTATGGCCTTTCCAAGAGAAAAATGTTTGCTTCTTTTAAAATCATCCTCTTTTCATGTTGTAACAGGCTCCGATGGCTTCACCCTTCCGCAACCTGAAGCCTTCCCGATACATTTGATGCCAACTACCATCATCCCAACGATCATGCTGGCAGGGGATGATGGTAGTTGCCCATTAAATGCATCTAGAAGATGGTACCAGGTTGAGAAAAGGCACCATACGAGGAGAAAAACACACTTTGACTTGCTGTGGAGATCTAATCAAGCTGAGTATATGCTGTATTGGAAATGGTGAAAAATAACCGTCAAGTTTTTTACAGATTTGGGACAGACAATGGCACGGCCCTTTCAGATTTTCAAATATTGGAAACTTGAACCCGTTCTGCTAGGCAGACCTTTCTAACTCCTCCTCCTCCTCTTCTTCAGGGTAAAACACCAAGTGGAGTATCTTGGGCTCAAAGAAAATATTCGAGTTCGGCGAGCAGGTTATGCTTATAGGCGAGTGTTTCGGAAATTCCTAGAGAGGTACAGTATTTCTGTGCAGTTGTTTTCTTTCCTTAATGGGGATGAGGCTTGAGGAAGGAGCATAATGAGATCTCCAAAGATGTCCCGGTTTCTTTTTCCTTTCAATACCTCTCCCACAGCTTATCGCCCAGGTATATTAAATAAATCTGTGTTCTTATTTACACACCCCTTTTGAAAATGGTGTTCTTACAAAGTGAAGGCAAACCAAAAATTTGAAGACACCTTTCGCAATGCACGTCTTACTTTCCAGATTGATTTACAGTTATCGGCATCATCTTGTTGGGCAGCCATCTCTTTTCTACTGTTGTGTGTCAAGAGCTTTCTGCCATGTAATAATGATTAATGTTAAAGTGGCATATAGACGTTAAAGTGGCATACAGCCCATCCTTCATGTCACAAATAAACAAAAATCAAAAATTCTTGTGAAAACCACCTGGGCAGTGGTTGAAAACATACTGGTGATGACAAAGGCACTGACCAGTATATGTCTTCCTCAGTTACAAGCTTCCCTCAGTTCACATTGATTGTGCTGGATTTGTTGATGAATTAATTGATTAATTTAACTGCACGTTAAGGACAAAAAGCAGTGTTCGAATGCAAATAAAGCATGGTTTCTTTCTCTCTCTTACACCCACACATGGGACAGAATGCTTCTTTTAAGTCTGACTGGAAAATTTTGGAGCAATTAAATCAGTTTAGTGCTGAAGCTGCAGCAAAAGCTCCAATGGACAGCTTGGTTTTGCTTCTGTTTTGCCTTCTTTCATTGTTCAGTTTGGAGTAGATGTATTCTGTTCTCTGTGTGACTAAGGAATGACAGAGGGTGATGTGGTTTGATGAGGAAGGTTCAGGCAGCTGGGGGGGGGGAAGAGGAAGTGGTAAATCCATCCCATGCCAGAATCAGCAAGTTGCAGCCCCCCAGGAAGTACGGCACCATGAGCCAATCCTGTCATTTTGCTGTTCAAGCTCTTTGGCCTGTTTATCTGAGCTTAATTTAGGGTGTGACAATGCCGCTTTTGCTTGTCCATTCATACTTTTGAGATGACTTGATGCCAGTTTTGCTTTCCTGTGTAATCTCTTTTCACTGAGAACTGTTGTAATATGTGTGGGGGGGTGGAGATCAGGGAAACCACTCCCCCCAATTTCTGCAAAGCAGGATGGTAACTGTGGGCTACTTTCTTCCCCTCTTTGCCTGAAGTACAAGTTGGTTGTTGTTGTGACAGAATAGGATAATTCCCGTTTTAATAATTGTGATCATTCTTCGAGAATGCATTCTGGATATGCTTTTGTGACCCTAAAACAGAAGCACTAAAATATCATTTAAAAAGACCCACACAGTAACGACTATGGTCAGTTGAAGGTTCTGATTTTAGCACAAGTATCAGCGGCTTTCTAACATTGAGATGAAAAGGTATCTGTCAGGATTCCTCCAGGAGGTTATTCCAAAGTGGCAGTGCCACCACTGGAAAGACCCCATTGCTCTTGGTACCCTCTGCCCGAGTGTTCAGTGGTGGACCAGAGAGCAAGATCTCCAGATCCAATGAGATAAGGATTAGAAAGCTTCAGAGCATGGCATTGTTCTCTTGTCCTTAAAGGTATGCCATCCTGACCAAAGCAACCTGGCCCTCTTGGAAAGGAGATGAAAAACAAGGTGTTCTCCACCTACTCCATTCGGTCAACATGGACCCTGACCAATACCAGCTTGGGAAAACAAAAATCTTCATCAAAGCACCAGAGTCTGTAAGTACGGGGGGCGGAATCTTGGTTTTTCAAACAGATGTGGTTGAGTTCCATGGCTGTTTTGGAACCAGTGAGCCAACTTCCTTGGTCCGAGACTTCGTGCTTGGGAAGGCGGTGGCAAGTTACCTATCAATTTTCACGACCTGCCAGGTGGGAATTGCCTTTGATCCTAAGTTCAGATCTTTGAACTCTCCCTGGCTGGCTTTGTCCAGCCATCCTGTTTCCTTCAGGTCCCTATTTTGGGATGTGGCCATGCTTTTCCTAATTGCTCTGTGGACATTGTCCCAGTCAGCACCATAAGATCCTTTGACAGGCTGTCAGGTTGTAATTTCCTCATGTCTAGAGACCCTGCCCAGTGAATCAAGAGTTGAATCAGGAATGGCCAGCTACTAGCTCATCTTCTTAACCTTCGTGCTACACCAGTTATATGGGAAAACATTGAAGACTGGTGTTAGGTGTGCCTCCACCTTGAGTATCATGTTATATTACCTGGCTGGGCCAACTTGAATGTCTGCTGCAAGAAAGAACAGCAAGGAACACAGAACAGCCACTTTTTAAATACAAAACAACTTTTCTATATTTTGCCTTTCACAATTTTTCCTGCAAGTCATTAGGATTTTTTTGTGTGTGCTTGAAGGAACGTTGGGTTTTTCTGGGCACAGGAAGCGTATCTGGCACAAATCTTAATTTTAGCAGACGGGGTGCTGTGCTTTGATAGTTGTTGTATTGCAATTAGTAGAACTGCTGCGAGTGAAACAAGTGAAGTAATGGGGATGTGAGCAGTTTGTTCTGCCAATTCTCTCTTCCAGTTTTTCAAAAATAAATGTTATGGGGGAGAATTTGCTAATTGTTTCAGAGGGTGACAGCTGGCTCCAACAGGCTGAAAACTAATCCATTCACATCTATATGACAGCACATCAAGAAACTCAAGGAGGTGGATGTTTCTTTCTGATGTGGAGCAAATGCACAGGGGTGTTCTCCTTCTGTGAGGCCTCTTGTAGCTCCTTTTTGTTTCTGTAGGACTTGCATTACAGGAGGATTATGGCCAGCATTGGTCAGTGGGAAGGGGCAGAGGGCATCCTCCGAATTTTCCACATTAAGCACCAGTACTGCTGGTGGTTTGCCCTTGGCTGATAAACCTGAGTTGGTCAACTATTTTGTCAGGTCAGGGGGTGGATGGAAGGTTGTGGCGTTGGAAGGCACTGGCAGGGTCTGAATCAGTAGAAAATAGCTTCCTGGTTTCCTGTGTGAAGTCCTGTGAAAGGAGTGACCAATCTGGAGCATCAGTGTACTGTACGTCTTGCAAGCGGGTGACAGAGCAGCAAGTTGCCTGAGAGTTTGGCAAGATCCACACTGTTGTTTCAGCAAGAGTGACGGAAGCTAGAAGGGTGGAGGCTTCTGGGGAGGACTTGTGGGAGGGTGGAAAAACGGGGTGCCCTACAGGACAGCCTACAAGATGCCTCACTTTCATCCTTGCCAGTCTTTTGCTGTATGCAAACGACAGCGTTGGAAACTCTGTGCCACAAGTCCAGGGATCCAAATGATGAACAGATGTTGCCGATCCCCCCTGGGCAGCTGTGTGTGCTGCCTTCTTGTTCTCGTCTTTTGTTTGGAAGCAGATGTGGAGCTGGTGAAAGAACCCAGACCCCCCTTTGGATTTTCAGATGGAGCTGCTTTTTGTTTCCAAAAATATCCTCTTCTTATCTGCTGTAAGCTGATTAAAGACAGACTTTCTTTGAAAGAAGGTAGATCTCTGCAATGGCCTCAGGGACTTTCTGTCTCATTCCATATTTCCTAAATCTGTGCTGGAATAGCTGCTTTAAAAGAGTGGATCTGGCCCGAGGCGTTTCAGTGCCTTAAGCAGAAAATCCAGGTGACCATAGTTGACTTCAGAGAGTGGATCTCTGGGAAGTGGTCTTGTGCAAGCCCTGATGAAACAGACAAGTCAGAATGTTTGCCTTCCGCTCTTCCTGGGGTGCAGGACTCCCCCACCTGATGCAGGGCCACTCCTTGCCTCATCTCTGAGTTCTTCATGCATCTCCTCCAGGCAGTGATTCTTTTTGGGATTTCCTTTGAACCTCCAGCAGAAGACGACACCAAAACTGGGATGCAGCCACCCAGAACATCTTTGGGGTTGAACATCCTGTTGGCTTCCATGGGAAATGACTGCTGTTACACACCCAGGTCCTGTGGCTTCCCATGGGCTTTGGGCAGATTGTCTTCCTTTAGGTCAAAAGCCCCCTACTACTGTCAATTCCTCCTTTGTGGATGGAGTGGTGTTCATGAGGAGATGCTGTTTGTTGAGCTCAATGGATAACTTTCCTTAAGTCAAAGCCAAGAGGCAGCCAAGAGCGTTGCTTTGATGGCTGTTTCGTGTCTCTCTAACTTACTCAGATAGGGCTTTTCCTTGTCTTGCAGTTATTTCTGCTGGAAGAGATGAGGGAACGTAAATATGATGGTTATGCGCGGACAATCCAGAAGGCGTGGCGGAAGTATGTGGCCAGGAAGAAATATGTACAAATGAGAGAAGAAGGTATACTGGGATAGCTAACAAACTTTGCCACCACCATACTGGACTAGATGGTTTTCTGAGGGCTGAAGGCAATAGTGGGACAAAAGGGGTTGTCGATACATGTGAAATTCTACCTTTTTAACCCCAACTTCCACTTAAAAACTCCCTCTTTGGTGAATGTCAGTCTCTGTGTCACACACCCCAGAGAGGTGCCCCTTATGGCTGATGATGGGCACACGCTGCTCTCCATAGGCAGTGGATCTACAGCTCCTGTCTGCCTTAGCCCGCGTAGCCCATGGTGGCGAATAATGGGAATCCAGAGTATCCTTGCTCTGACCAGCAGCAAAACACAGACACCATCATGACATCTGCAGACTTCAATCCATTGACCTAGTTCCTTTAACAGGGTGCTCATTGCACATCACATCTGTTCTCCTCCCTGAAACAGAGGAAGCGGCCTCTCAGAGCTTAGAAAAGTTACTTCGTTCAGCTGTAGTGGGATTCAGGGCATTGCAATCTAAAGATGTCACGTTAATGAGATTATTAGTCCATTCACTTTATGACTGCCTTGTTTGGATTGGCAGCAGATCCCCAGGACCTGGGGCAACCTGCCACTTGGGTTTCTTTTTGAAATACATGAGGTCTCTCTGGATTGAACCTGCTACCTGCAGGCAAAGTAGGTGCTCAGTCATTGATTTACATACAGCACTTCTCTTAACTCAGCTGTTCATCCCAAATATGAAAGACAAAGCCAGATTGTGTCTCATTTTGCTTACTTCAAATACTGCTCATTGTTGAAAAATGTTCAAGATTTTTACTATATTGAATTTTGATTACAATATTCAAAGCAGTGTACTTTGTTCTGTTTGTCATCTAAAATAATAAGACGTTTTCCCCTTGTGACCAAGGTGAGTGAGTAAAACTCTTTTCTCCCTCCCTCTTAAAGCCTCTGATCTGCTGCTGAACAAAAAGGAAAGAAGGCGGAACAGTATCAACAGGAACTTTGTCGGAGACTATATTGGCATGGAGGACCGCCCGGAGTTGCGGCAGTTTTTAGGCAAACGAGAAAAGATTGATTTTGCAGACACAGTCATCAAATATGACAGAAGATTTAAGGTAGAATGAAAGCAATATTGAAAATGATTAATAATGTTTTTTGCCCAGGTCTTGGCCATTTCAGTGAGGATTGTGCTGTCAAACCTCCCACTGGATCAAAACACATGTTCCATCTTGAAAACCCCAGTTCTTGGCACTGAAATGCCTTGGGCCATTTTTCTGGAGTCAGATCCTGTCACACTGAGGTGTCTGTCTCTTTATCTTCTTTCTAACCAGAAGTCGTGCAGCTGTGAAGAGTTGTTTGGGGTGTTTGTAATACAGTAACTGTTGGAAGCACGAACACAGATATCCTCAAATCCATTCATATTTTAGGGCATCAAACGAGACCTCATCCTGTCACCAAAGTGCATGTACCTGATTGGGCGTGAAAAGGTGAAACAGGGGCCAGAGAAGGGCCAAGTGAAGGAGGTGCTCAAGCGACGCATTGAGGTGGAGAGAATCCTTTCTGTTTCTTTAAGGTCAGTGCCAACTCTTTTCTGTATAAATACACCCAGAGTTGAATTTAAAATTCTGTTCAATGGAAAGGGAAGGAAGAGGAGGCATGCTTTGAATGTCTCGTGGCCCTTGTTTCCTCAGCACGATGCAAGATGACTTCTTTGTCTTACACGAGCAAGAATATGACAGCCTTCTTGAATCAGTCTTCAAAACAGAGTTTCTGAGCCTTCTGTCCAAGCGCTATGAGGAGAAAATGCAAAGAAGGCTGCCTCTGAAATTTAGCAATACGTGAGTGATGGGCTACAGAATGGTCAGTTTCCTTCTCTCCATCTGCCTCCTGAGTCTACTGGAGCTGGCTCAACCCAAGTGACCTTAGTGGTGACCTTGGATGGCAGTGTCTTTGGGGTGACAGAAATGCCTGGGGGGGAATCAGACCACCCCAGGAGACCGAGCGGATGCTGTGCATCCTTACAACCCCTAAATTCTTCATCTGGCATGGCCACATGGGATTTTGTAAAAAGTAACTTTTGCAAACTTTGATTCTTGAGCTTTAGTACATGCGATCCATCTCACAATGGAAGATACGGGGAACTGTTCCTGTAGAGGAAATCTGGAGGGTTGCTAATCCTGTCGAACTTACCAAGGGCAGAGGGGGTGTGAGAAGGATGAGGAAGTGATGGCGTGGATGGTAGTAAACTACTATTCACATCATCCCTCACCCTTTTGCTGGGCCCGATGGGTACAACATCAGGGTTCCTTAACTGGACTAGCCTTCCCAGCCCCTCCCTTCACTCTGTTTGGCAGCCTGCACTGTGGAAAACAATTCCCACAGCAGCTTTGTTGCCTGGAGTTCTTCTAAGTCTTACAAACATGGGGATGGCTTGCCTGCCTGCCTCTTTTCAAACCATCAGCCAGTCTCCTGTGTTTGCTTTGTGTGGTTCCTTTCTCAAGTGTTTTGGGGAAAGGCAATTTAACTGGATTGCCCAGTCCTTCCCAAGAAAAAAAAAAGCACTCTTTGTTTTGGTTTTGTTGGGAGTGAGAAATCTCACAGAATTAGAGAATCGTTAAGGGGTCACCTCAGATAGGAGCAGCCTACACTGCTGGGAACAAAGATGCAACAGCACATTCTCCTGTAGCTACCTCAGAAACAAACACGCTCACTGTCAGATGTGAATTGGGTCTTCATCTCTAGATGGCTCCTCCTCTTCTTAGAATGGCCGAGCTAGAAGAGACCTTATGGATCACAGAGTCCAGCTCCTGTCAAGGAGGCCATGTGGGGAATCAAACTCCTCAAAGCTTGACTACAGTTACTGTATTTGTCCAAAGTACAGCAAGGGGTGAAATTTTCCATGGCTAAAGTTACAAGAAAATATAGGGGGTGGATGGGTATTTTTGGGTGGGTATTTTACATGAAATAAGCAAACCATCACCCCTGCTCTCTAAGGAGAGGAAATACACTGACGAAGCAAAATCCATCATCCTGGAATGTTTGTTTTTTGTGGGACAAGCTACCTCCCAGCTGCTCCAAGGAGTGTGTTTTGCTGGTGTCATTTCCTGAGAGTTCTTAAATACACAGAGTAAAGCAGGGGGAGCTTAATTAACAATCTTGTCAGGAGGGGAGAGATGAGGCACAAATGATTTTAACTTGACCTTCCCAATCTCACTGTTTTTTTTACACTCTAGTCAGGTTTGCTGACTCAGCATCTGGTTTCCTGTAACAAACACATCACCAAGTGGGCTTTGTCAAAGTACAGCCCAAAAGGCACAAGACCATGCCTGGGGAGCCCACCTTAGAGGATAATCTGTACTCTTCTGCCATGCCTGTTTATTTCAGCAGGGGACTAGAATTTGCCCACGGGAGTTGGTGTCTCTTCCAAATGTTGCTTCCCCATCCCTAGGAATTTTTTTTTGGGGGGGAGGGGACTCCTCCCAAAAGACAAAACAAAGAGAGCCTATTCCTCATATTCTCAAGGACTAGCAAGCCTTATGTAGCATAACTTATGGATGACTGGCCACTCCCATCAGATGCATGAGGTGGTATTGAGCAGGCAGATAGGCATACACAATCTGAGGTGGGGAAGAGGTGGACAATGTGGGAGTAAACTAACGCAGAAGGCACACAGACTGATGAGGAGCTTAACAAAGATTGTGCAACAAACAGTCATTAGGAGGGACCAAGGACATCCTAGCACAGGTAAACGGATTCACATAAACACATGGGGGTGAAAAGTGTTTATTCAGGCCGAATATATAAAATAGTGTTCAATGCCTAGGCAAACTGTCATGATCGGGGAATTGTGAAAAAATGGAAAAGGCTTGCAAAAATTAAAGACAATGAGAACTCCCCAAATGAAGAAAAATTGGGTAGTTATGCAGACATTCCTACATGGGTGGGGTGGGCGTAGGTCTTCAGGGAGGATTCCAGCGTTCTTCCCAGGTCAGTTTGCATCCTTTTCTTGTGACTAACAATGTTTTCTGCATGCTTGCATGCCAGGCTGGAAGTGAAGTTGAAAAAAGAGAACTGGGGTCCTTGGAAGGCTGGTGGTTCTCGGCAGGTGCAGTTCAGCCAAGGTCAAGGAGACACTGCCATCCTCAAGCCAAGCAATAAAGTGCTGCAGGTCAGCATTGGGCCTGGACTTCCAAAGAACTCCCGTACGTATGAAATTCCCCTGGGTCACCACTGAGAGCCTTGGCGGCCACTGCCAGCCCTGGTGCCTGCACAACATAGGCCATGCCTTGAGCGCATCCTCTGGCTTCCATTGCAGGCCCCACAAGGAGGAACGCAAGCCAAGACAGAGGGTATTCCAGTCGGACAGCAGGCCAGAACTACCCCATGAGGGCTGCTCCCCCTCCCCCTGGTGAGTGGAAAGAATGGACAGGGGCGCAAAATTCAAATCTTTGTCAGTGGCGGGGCTCAGAAGGAACAAGTCTAGGATCTCCTTTCCCCCCCAATAACCAATCAGATTACAGGGCAGTCCTGATGATTTATGGAGCCCAGGGCAGATTGTTGAATTATGTAGGCCCTTGTATTTCCCTTGCTCATTCAGGGCCTTCATGGGCATAGATAATCTGTGACAGTTCTAGCATGCAGCTCCAAAGACAAGCAAGAGGCAGGGATGTGGTGGGAAGGCTTCCTTGGTTTGATCAGGGTGGCTGCGCTTACCCTTCTGAAGGAGGGGCAGCACCTTTGGGAAGGAAATTGCTGAAGCAATTGGAGAGGAAAGGGAGTGTGTGGAGCAGACTGCCACTCCCCAAAGGGAACGCATGCCCTCCTTTGGGCTCACGTCTTGAAATACTTACAGGTCTTCATCAGAATGGGGTGATAAGGATCCCGCAACACACTCCGCAGCCTCAAGGCCCAGCAAACCAGCACACTAGCCAGAGAAGCCTGTACACAAGTATGGCGTGCCCGCCGTTGCCGCAGGTCTCGGGTGGATTAGACAGAGGTTCTCATCAGCCTGGCAGCCTGGACTTCCTCAGAGTGCCAGACCAAGGTGCTGCAGGGTAAGCCTTGTGCTCTCTCCTCATCATGATAAGCCTTTTTGTTTACTTGGTTGGCTTTTTTCCCTGAAGGCAAGAAGTCGATGGGCTGACAGAGCGTTGTTTGATCAAGAGGAGCATGGGGACAGAGTCAGACTATCATCAACCAATAAGCTTTGCATTATCAATCCTGACTGGCAGCCCTCGCTATCCGAGATGTTGGGTAGTTGTTCTGTCCAGTCTCACCTGGTGAAGCTGCTAGGGAATGATCCTGGGACCTTCCACATGTAAAAGAGGTGCCGAGACACTGAGTTATGCCCCCTCCACACATCCCTATGTACTTTACTGTCTTGGATATATATTAATTTAGAGGCAAATGCCTGTAAAAACTCACATGGGCTGCTAATGAGAGTGATAGATTTGTGGAGCACTCGGCAGGTTCATGCTTTCCTTGAGCCCACATTTCTCTCAAGAGTTTTCTGAGGCAGCACTGTCAATCCTGAATAGGTTTCCATGCAGTAAAATGCAGAAGAGACCTTTTGAATTATGCATTGCGTTCTGTTCATCTGGCCTTCATTTAATTTAAAAACATGGGGAACTTGAACGTTGTATGGGCGTCTATCTCTGGAAAACGCCCTTGGGAGGTTCAGGTTAGCAGAAGAAGGCCCAGCCTTAGCTTGCAGTGCCATCTGCTGGTATTCTGAATAACCTTCCACCAGAGCTTCAGAAGACTACTTTCAAGACCACAACTCCCAGAATCCCCTGCCAACTAGCAGGATTCTAAAATCCAAAAAGAACAATTCCTCCCAGCTGTTTTTCACTTGCACACTTTTTGGTGGAGAATCACCTATTGCATCTAGTCACCTCCAAATGTTCTCGCTTACAGCTGTGATCATCCCCGACCTATTGGCCATAATGGTTTGAGGTGATAGGAAATGATGTTCAAAACATCTGGAAAAACCAGTCAAAGAGGATGGCTTAAAAGTTATAGGTTCATAGACAAGAAAATTGGTGTTTGAGTTATACTCCACCTTCGACGCAGACAAAAGTACCTTTAATTCAGCTGTGAGAACTGGTGATACCTTTTATTGAACCACTATAAATCAAACAATTGCAGGCTTTTATGAAGAAAATTTCACTTCAGGCTTAGCACAGCCTCTTTGTGGATAGTGCAGAAAAATTCAGCTGTGCTTTAATATTACACAATTCAATTATTTTTAATATTGCACTTAAAAGGTAAAGGTTCCCCTTGGCAATTTGTCCAGTCATGTCCAACTCTAGGAGGCAGTGTTCATCCCCGTTTCCAGGCCATGGAGCCAGCATTTGTCTGTAGAGAGTTTCCGTGGTCACATGGCCAGCACAACTAGACACGGCACACTGTTATCTTCCCACCGTGGTGGTACCTATTTATCTACTCACATTTTTACACGGTTGGCAGAAGCTGGGATAAGCAACGGGAGCTCACTCCATCACGTGGATTCAAACTGCTGATCTTCTGACCTTGCAGCCCAGAGGTTTTCTGCAGTTTAACCCATAGCGCAACCATGTCCCATTATAACTTACTGTCATCTTAGTTTGAATATTTTTAAAATCTTGCTGTTGGTCACTCTGACTCTGCTTTAATTTCCCATTTTTCTCTGAAAATGATCAATCCTTGCTTGCCTAAGTGGGTGGCAGTCTGCACAACCAACTCTCCAATAGCACCTTATCCTCTTTTGTTTTCATCTATTCTGTAAAGCACTTTGCATTTTGGAAGAGACAAATCATCATCATCTCCTTATTAACATCATTGTTTTCTGTGATACAGGCCATGTTGAATTCTTGTATAATCTGTCCAGACGTGACGATGAACTTCAGTCTTCAAATCTGAATCATTCTCATTATTTTCCTGTATCCTTCTGTAGTGCTCGCAGGCACACTACGAACCGGCCCCCGCCTGCGGGGGGCAGACCCAAGCCCCAGCCCAAGCCCAAGCCTCAGGTACCCCAGTGCAGGGCGCTGTACGCCTACGACGCTCAGGACACAGACGAGCTCAGCTTTAATGCCAGTGATGTCATAGATATTATCAAAGAAGGTGGGCCATCCTCGTCCTTTTCTCTCATTAGGAAACAATAGAAAGCATTGTTGTATGTTTCACTTTTCCATTCAGAGAAGACTCCAGAGGGGTTAATAGAATCACCAAAAAGTTGTGATTTAAAAGCACAGTGCAAGGAGTGCCCACCAAGAATCCAAGACATTGTCATTCAGGGCCAAAGCTAATATTGCTGCCTGCTCCTTGCAAACAAAAATAGGCAAGCATTTTCACTGTTGTGACGCACAAGGATGAAAAAGGCGTCTCTTGTATACCCTCCTTGCCCCAATCTATGTGGGGAGTTCTGTGGTTATAATTTCCCTAGTTGGGTGGATTCATACTCTGGAGAAGTTTTCCATTTGCGCATAGAGGCAGCTGCTTCTGTGTTTGCACTTATGCATGTGGAAAATAGGACAGGATGATGGCTGCTGTGTCTTTCTCTGGTACTTGAATTAACTTAAGCAGCTGACTGCACCCATATCTTCACTACTTCATTTCTGCTCCCATGAAGTTGAGTCCTAGCTGTCTGTTCCAACCACTACTTGTAAGAAAGCGTTGTTTTCTCACCAAGAAAGATTCTAGTCTTAACATCTCTGTTGAGCAAACCTGGGGGAGCGTTCTTCTCACTGTCTGTTTCTTTTCAGATCCCTCAGGCTGGTGGACGGGCAGGTTGAGAGGGAAACAAGGACTTTTCCCAAACAATTATGTGACCAAAGTGTAAATCCTGCATCACGAGAAGCCCTTGTCCAAGGCAAAGGTGCCGAGGGACAGGTTTTACAAACCTTGTAAATGACCCGTAAAGTGACAACTGTTTACAGAATCTCTCACTTCAGGAGTGAAATGAAAGCCGAAGACGGGCACCCAAGCACCTTCTCCAAGAAGCCAAAGCGCATGCCTCAGATGACCACCAAACCAAGGAATTATTTATTTTATTGAGCACGTTTTCCTCACAAAAGAGGGCTGTGTTTAAATTACTTTACATTCCTTTGCCCCCTTTTGGCTTAAATTCTGGAAACAGCAAGGGTGCTTCTTGAGGGCACTGGAAAAGTTAAACTTCCTGTGCAAGTGCCTTTAGTTGCCCTCCTGACTCTCTTCTAAATTCTCTTTAGCAAAACAATGGCATTATATGCACCTTTCTTCTGTGGGTGATGTCACAGAGGAGCAAAGTAATAAGTTATGCTGCTACCTGCCTTAGAAATGTAGGTGTCTCATTTCTTTGGAACCTTATCGTTCCCACCCCACCCACCTGCCCAACATATGTTTTAAAGAGCTCATAACATTCTCATCCAGGTTTGCTTGAGAACTCTTGACGATTCTGAAAAGGCACTGCAACCAAAGGAAGGCAGTATTGTATGCTGTAAATGGCTCACATTGGTTGATTAATGTGGCTGGTCCATATTTGTTTTTATTATTGTATCAGTGGCAGGGGGCGGGGTGGGCGGGAACACTTCCCTCTTCCCTTCTGGGAAGCTGTAGACTAAACTAAAAGATCACATACAATGTTGATTTTGAAATGAAATTGAAGAGAGAAACCTGTATGAATGCAACCAGCAGTCATCTGCTGTGCTTGTCTAGGAAGGTGGCTTGATTAGCATTAGGGGACCAGGTACTTCTACGTATGCACTATCATTAAAAGGTCAGGGTTAGTGCGCTTTATTAAGCTCAGCTTCCACCTGCCTCAAGTCACAAGAGCTGTTGCTTACTCCACTGCATGCCAGTTTATCCATTCTCTTCTCAATTGCCATCAATAAAAAAACATAGGAATTAACACATTTTGTTTGGGGTACATTAAGGTTGTTAAGGCCTTATATTCACTTTCCTTGGACGATAACCTCTCTGTCTGAAAAGACATGTGAGCTTCATGACTAGAGACCTGAATATGTATCTGAAAAGCATATTCTGCCAGCAAGCACATATGCTCTGGGAATTTATTTATTACATTTTAATCCCGCCCATCTAGTAACAAAGCACTACTCTGGGTGACTAACATCAACAAACAGAATAAAAGTAATAACCCACCCACAATTCATAAAAACCAATGAAAAAGTAAACTGCTGCTTGGCACCGGTGATATTTAAGATTCAGTCCTCCTCCGCTCTTCATTTGACATTCTCACCTCAAGACTGCTGTATCTCACACAGTGCAATTTATTTTTAACCAATAGTCCAGCTGAAAATTACCTCTCCTTGCTTTGTCCCAGCCCAGCTCTGCTATGGCCACTGTAGGGTGCCGAGGTAAAGCAGCTTCACCCCAGAGCCTTCCTCAGGACCTAGCTAAGAACCGTAGAGTGACCGAGCAAGTGAGTCCTGGCTGGCCAAGTTAGCATCTCTACTGACAAGTTTTGAAAAAGGGTCCTTGCCTCAAACCACCTTGATGTTTGAGGTAGCAAAGCAAACCACCTCTCCGGCCCTTCACTGGAGCAACCTTCCCTTAGCCAATTCTGATAACCCCAAGCAGCAGTGAGAACATCGTCCTTGCAAGCATTCAAGAACAGAGGACCAAAAAGAACACCCCTGGGGTGGGTGGGGGAGGCATGTGGCTGGACCTGGAATACTGACAATGCAAAGCACCCTTTTGCTCCTTTAGGCACTGTCTTTATGACCTCTGTTCATTTCTCAAGAACGTGCCTTAAAAGGGGGACATGCTCTACCACACCTTTATTAAATATATAGCATATAGAGGATTGGTTTAAGAAAAATTCTTGCCTGCATCTTTAAAAGGCCTCCAATGGGGGCATCACCACACAGAAGGCTTTGGCTGGCACTCACGCCGGCTACTGGGACTCATCCAGCAGGGGTGCTGCAAGGTCCTTGATGGTGGAGGAGTTGAGCTGAGGGAGGGTGCTGATCCTCAGGAATTTGCTACTAGAGTACTTCTTCTTCACTGCCTGGCAGGATGCGAGAGGCCCAAGGTTAGAGGTCACCTGAAGGATTTATCTCTTGGTGCTGTACCTTAAGAGAATTGGGGCTTGGCTTGTGATTTTGAGAGGAAAGATTTTGAGGAACCCTGACCCCACACATGTGGGTTTAACAGTTATCTGTGATCAGCAGGCCCTGCTGGGAACAAGAACCAACCATGACTAGCAGAACACGGAGAAGCGGCATGTGTGGACAACTCCTCCAAGGCCCCCTGCAGCTAGCAGGGCCAATGGGCTTCTGGGAGTTGTAGTCCAAGCAGCAGCTTGCCCAAGCCTCAGCAGCCAGACCTGTAAGGCTCTCCCCCACCCACCTGCCCCGGTAGCCTTTCTGGGCCCGAAAAAAGAACTTGGAACTCAAAGGCTCTCTGCCCCCTCTAACCTTCTGCTCTCCTTCTTGGTCCCAGGCTGATAGAATCAGAAAGTCCTGAAGAGCCAGGATACTGCTCAACTGGGCCTTGTTCCACTAGGGAACTGTCTTAAAAGTTTCCCCATCTTGAGAGAAGGTGGGCGAGGAGCAAGGGAGTGGGGGGGGGTAGATTGCAAGTCCAAAACTAAACACCAGGTCGAGCCCACAACCAACATGGAGGCCACACTCTGAGGAAGGGAAAGCTCCCCTTTCAAACTCCCTTCTCGTTTGCTGGGACTGGCCCAGGGTCAGATTGGTGACTCTTGGGCCCCTTTCTGACTTGATGCTTTCAAGATCTCTTTGGAGTCGTGCATGCTCCTAGAACGTAGGATTGCCAATGGACCCTATTTCATGCGCAGTGCAACAAGCTATGAGTAATAGTTTTCTACTCCAAGGCTAAAAGCAACCTGCTTCCCAGGATCCAGGAAGGGGCAGGCACTTACCACGTGTTTTGTTAGATTCTTGTTCACTTTCACAACGTTCTTGGCCATGTGCTCCATGACTGGGCTCAGAGGCTGCTCCTCATAACCTGTGTAATAGCACAGCTTTATGTTCTGCAGGGAGAAGAAGAGCAGCAGTGGGGTCAGAAGCCTTCTGAGGAGTGTATGGCAAAAGCAAGCCTTCTGCTCTTGCTTGCCCGCCTATGGTATCCATGAATTCCAACCCAGCAAGAGGGCTACTTGAGAAGCAGAAAGAAACTGGCATGGCCACTCAGGCTTGTGATATGCCAAAAAATGACTTCATACAGGCAGGCTGACATGTTTGAGAATTAGCAGCCTTTGCAGCTCTGCAAAGTGTTTTAAGCCAATCTTAGGACAGCTTAGAGAGACACTGTGAAGCCAAGCACATCTTGGTTGTAGACAGCTATTGGCTCTCAAAATAGACCCATGGAAGACAGACTGTGTCGCAGGCTGATCTGCTCTCGAGAGATCTGTGCTAGCCATTTATTTATTCTGCATATATATTCAACCCTTCTTTCTCAAAGGAGCCTAAGCCAGCTCCTCCACCATTTTGGCAGGAGAGACACCAATACTGCCCCCTGAAGAAATGCCCCTGCTTTTCCTGAGACAAAGAAGATCAGCACTTTCTAGAGGTCATTGACCTGACTGGGCCAAATCAAGGCTGAATCAGGCTAGCTCCAAGCAATGAAGTGTCTCATGGGAAGCCAATGGCACAGGCCCTGGCTGCCACCATTCCCTCGTTACACGTGGCAGAAAGGTAAACAGCTTCCCTTGGCACTGCCCTCCTTAGATAAAAAGGATTTTGCTCTTAAGCTGGATAGAAACACAGAGCTTAAAAGCCGAACCATGACAAACAGGAAGCAAAGGATGCCACAAATTCGTTAACAGATTTCCAACAATGATTATGCATGAGGAGACGCTGGTAGAATGCTCTGCATCCCTTCTTGGAGTGCTGAGTGAAATAGAGACTCACCCACTGGCTCTCGGACAAGACTTTCTGAGACAGGCAGAGTGCTGCAGCAGCAATCTCTGAAGGATTATAATGCACCATCTCATAGTCCACGAGGGTAAGCTCCATCAGGTACTTTGCTAGCAGGTACGATTCAACAGACGGCTGGCAACACAAGGACAAATGAACATGAATAAAAGCTGCTAGTATCGTGCCCCAAGAGTGTCCATCTGGACTACATCTCTTATAAAATGCAGGCTATACTTCACGCCTCACTTTGGGACAATACCTTTATCAGCCATTCTCAGTTAATTACAGCTCACACAATGTGCCCCATTACCTTCCTCCTTAATATTTTTAATACTTCTTTATCTTCTCCCCTGCAAACCAGGCCTCTCCCTGCCAATCCCCTGAATACAAAACACTAGGCTTGTTCAGACAAACATGGATATCTGTCCACATAGCAGCAGGTTTCGGGCTTTCGTGCATGTATGTATATGTGTATATTTACACACAGACACACCAGAATCCAGTCCCTTTCTCTCATTACTGATACGGAGTACAACACCCGAACTAGGAGAAAGCTATGATCGAGTTCACAATCTCCTCAGTCCAAAATCCCTGCGGTTCCCAATTCACATTGTTTGGGCACTCACTTCCTTCAGAAATGTCTGTGCCTCCTCCCAAGGTCCTGGAACCAGATCCCAACCCCAGGGGCCAAGTTGCTGGTGGGCAGACTTACATCAGCCACTTTGGCTGCTCTTCTCAGGAAGTGGAGCGGTAGTGGCCGGCCCAGGTCAAAGTTAAGCTTTCTCAGAATATTTTGCTCCATCACCCGAATCTGGGCAGCCTTGTATGCTCTGTCAGTCATGTAGACAAAGTCCAAAATACTTGGCGCATAAATCTCTTCGTATTTGGCAGCCAAAAGCATTGCAGTGACACCAACCAGCTGCAGTTCCTTGCGAGAAACAGGCTGAGCCTAGTTTAGCAGACATGAAGATTGACTGTTACCACACACAAGTTCACAACACAGGCTCATTTCTCACCATAGCACAAGAGCACTGGTAAGAAATGACTAGGAAAAAAGTTGCCTCTCTATTGCACTGCATCCATCTTTAAAATTTACTTTTTATTGGCATTTTCGGAGCATTTTGACATTAATTTTTCAAGTTTTGTGCTAGTCTCTTAGCAATCAATCCCCATGTTTTCCATAAAATAGTAACAAAAAAGGAACAAGTTACTGAATAACATGACAAGCTGCTGACTAAACATTGTAACAAATAAAATTCTGCCTCTCCGCCCTTCCCAGACTTCCTGTCAGGAAGCGTGGATCATCCCAGAGCAATCCAGCTGCCCCTAGAAAGAAAAGAGGAAAGCTATGCACACACCTGAACTGGAAGCTCAAGCACTGTCTACAGGGGCCGGAGTGGCCTGTGTGCTTCTGCCTCAGAAGACTGTTTACATATGAAGGAATGTTGAGGTTGTTTCTACAGTGGGGTCTCTACTTAAGAACTTAATCTGTATTGGAAGGTGGTTCTCAAGTTGAAAAGTTCTTATGATGAATCTGCATTTCCCATAGGAATGCATTGAAAACCATTTAATCCGTATCTGCTCTTTTCCGTCCATAGAAACTACAGTGGAACCTCTACTTAAGAACTTCATCCGTTTTGGAATGGTGTTCTTAAGTTGAAACGCTCTTAAGTTGAAGCAAAATTTCCCATAGGAATGGACTGAAAACCAATCAATCCGTTCTGGCTGTTTTTTTGTTATGTAGAGGTGCATTCGTACATTGAAGCATTAGTTCCCATAGGAACTAATGCAAAGCTGGTTAATACGTACTCTACTACTAGGGGGAGAATTTTTTTTTAACCTAAGATGACCTAAAGAGCAGGAAAGGTTAAAAAATGAGCAGGAAAGGTTTTTTTTCCTGTTCTTATCTTGGATTTCTGTTCTCAAGTAGAAGCAAAATTTAGCAAATGGAGCTGTTCTTAAGTTGGATTGTTCTTAAGTAGAGACGTTCTTAAGTAGACCCCCCACTGGTACTTCACCATCACCCCGCCCTGAAGCAGCAGCAGCCTGGGACTCAAACCTAGAGATGGACAGGCAGTTGCTTGCCCAGCCCCGCAACCAAGGCCTGGGATGTCCTGTGGCCACCACCCGCTTACCTGCAAGTAGCGATCCATGATGGCGACGCACATGTACAGCGTCTCCTGCAGGAGCTGGAATCTTGCATGGACTTCGACCAGCCAGTCCACAAGGATGGCACGCATTCGCCCATTGAGCTCCGTGCCCTCAAGGTAGAGGGGCGACACACGCTGCTGCACCTGCAGAAAAGGTTGCTCTGCGTTTCAAGCACTTGGAGAGAACTCCCAGGATGAAGGCTGCAATGCTGGACAGCATTGCAGCCTTCTTTCACGAATGCCCAGCCAGGAGTGGAGCAGCCGAATCATCGGCACGCTGGATTCTGCACACACATACCTCCAGCTGCCTCAGGTACCGATAGATGTCCTTCACATAGTCGCTGCACAGCTGAGGATCTGCCCAGTCCTCTGCATCCAAGTCCTCTATGTTGCTCTGCAGCATCTCGGAGAAAGCCTGGCAGAGGTCCACCTCCATTGATAGGTCCACAGAGGTCAGGAAGGGGTCCTAGTTTTAGGGAAAGTGCAGGAGTGAAGGTACCACCATGCACAGTATGATATTTCAGAGCCCAGTCGTGGTGTGATTTAAGTGTGTATGTGTGTGTGCGCATGCGCTCATGGCTTCCCGTGCACAGTTCCTCACAGCAAATCATGACCTGACTCTTGCCCAAGTCTTTCCTGGCCACTAGAGCCATCTTGCAGGTGGGATGAGGTGGTGGTGTGGTTACACTTTCTCAAGCCACACAACAACTTTGAGGCTAATGGATTTCCAAGTCTTACACCAACAAAGGATGCAAAGTCTACATTCTGGTGTCAAGTGTGGGGCACAATATTTGTTATACTTTACTGGTTTATTGTTTATTTTATTTTATATATTTCTATTCTTTCTCCTTAAAAATGACCCAATATTTAAAGCTAATATTTACAATATTTAAAGCTAAACACATAAAGTATACAAATACTAAAAAAGATCAAACAAATACCAGACTAAAAAAAATGATTATCAAAAAACCAACACCAGAAACACATTCAATGCATTAAGGCACAACAATCCATTAAAAAACCCCTTAGCCAATTTATGTTTATATTCCACCTTTCTTCTCATGACTTCCCACTGGGTCTCCTCTTCACCCCCAGGATAGCTTTCTAGGTTGCACTACCATTGCTGTCACCCACTCAGAGAAAAGGTGTACTTCTGAAATCCAAGATCCTCTGTCCATCCTCCCTCCCCACACAAACGAGATGTACCAGCTTCAAGAGACCAGCTTCTCTTAACTGGCCACTGGGAAGAGCATGTTTTGCTACTGGGTTTGTTACTCTGGAAGCACCTTCAATGGTTAGGTGGGAATTCTCGGTTTTCAGCCAAAGACAGAGAAATTGTGAATGACCCTGTAGAGCTCCAGCCTTCCCAATAACAAAGGGCTGAGAGCTTTTTCCCGCCTTCACCTTGCCTGCTTTGGGCCTTCTGCTCCTTATCTTGTTGCCGATTTCTTCCAAAGGGCTCCTTGGGCCCATTAGTTGGCTGCTAGCTTTCCAAGGATCAGAATGCAGGCCATTCTTCACCTCAGTTGCAACCTGCAAAAAATAAATAAATAAATAAATTAAAAAAAGGCTACTATTTCCATGCTAGCACTGAAATTCTGGGGAAATATTCCAAGCTCTGATCTGGATTAAGCACTCAATGCTTACATGCACAAAAAGAGCCCTGTGCAATTCCCTCCCCCCCAATTACACCACCTCACCCACCTTCTGCCCCCCAGCAAAAGGAGTTTTTTTTCCAGCCTGTCTCAATCCTGCAAACATTTAAATCACACAGGCCTTGCAGGTTCCCTCCCATTAACCCAAATGGGGGTGAGAAAGTGCAGGTCTTGCTACTGGAAGGGCAGGAACCTCTTCCCAGCCAGCTCCGTGCAAGAAACATAGAGCCAGAGGGAGGGCAGGGATCTGGCCTCTTCCAGACATGCAGTGACTTTTGGCAGAACCTGCTTACAGGGAAAGCCCAACAGAGGACCTTCCCTTTTCCCTTCTTCTGTGGCTTCTTTCAGTGGGTGGGTGGGGCACACATCAAAACAAATAAAATATTTAAAGTATTTTAAAATACTGAAATAAACGAAATATTTAAAATGTAGAAATGAAATATTCAAAACACTGAAATAAAAGTAAAGCTTGAAATAAAAAAGTATTTAAAATGTTGAAATAAAAGTATTCAAAACACCGAAATAAGTATACTGAAATAAGGTATTTAAAACGTCGGAAGAAACAAAACGCTTAAAAAACGTCGATATGCCGCCCTTCCTCCTAAAAAAGGGCCCTAGCCTGCCGCCTTTGCCAGACCGCCGCCGCCCCCCCTCCTCCTCACACACAACACGCACCCCTCTTCGGTTCCCCTCAGAGCAAGCCCCCTTCCCTCGCCCGTGGAGGAAGGGAGGGAGGGAGTCTCTTTTCTCTCCTCAGAGGGCAGCGCCCCCCCCCACCAGCCTTACTCCCACCGGAGGAGGCGCTTCGAGTCCTTGGCCCCGCCTGGACACGCCTCAGGGAGGCCCTTCGCACGTTCTTGGAAAAGCGAGTCAACAGAACGGGGCCAGAGCGAAGGGGCGGCTTCCAAGGACAGGGGCTCCCCGAGGGGACTCACCGGCCCGTCCCTCCTGCTCGCCATGGCCGGCCAGGCCAGGCCAAGCCAAGCCAAGCCCTCGCCTCAGCTCGTTTTCCCTCAGCTCGCCTCGCCGCTTTCTCTCCTCAGCCGCGAGGCGCCAGCCGCCTCAGGTCCTCTCAAATGGGAGCCCGCGCTGCGACGCCATTGGGCCCTGGGTCAGGGTCGGGCCCGCCCTATTGGCTGCGCCGCCCTAGTCCCCGCCTCCCTCCGCGCGCGGCCAGGGCCGACCCCCACCGGCCGCTGAGGCCGGCGCCCCAAAAAGGAGAAGGCGGAGTCAAGCTCTCTGAACGATCGCGAGGCTATTGCCGAACGGGGCCGCAAGGCAGCATGGGAGCCGTAGTCTTTCCGTGCCAAAGGGTCCCGATGGAGGCTTCTCGGACGGGAAAGCTTCCATGAAACCGTGGGTTCGAATCCCGAGGCTCCCTAGGAGCCACGTATGGAAAGTGGGCCGAGGAGGAGCAAAGGGCTGCTTCGCCTCCTGGGGAACTCTGGGAAGTGTAGTCCAAGAGCCCACCTCTACAGCTCCCTAGGAAGACGTTCTTGCCATCCATTCAACCTCTCGCTTCCCGACCCTCCACTGATACTGGGACGCTTCTGCTGCGAGCGCTCAGCAGCCCCCCTCCCTTTGGGTAACAGCACAGGGTGTTCTCCTAAAAGGATCAACTTTCCAAACTCAAGGACCGCCAACCATCTGGCGTTCATATCCCAGGGGACCAAGTCCCCTGGAGGGAAGCTGCCACCTGCATTAAGGACGGCTCCTTTCCTGCAGGAAACACAACTGTTTCTTCGCAAAGACCCCATGCCAGCATTTAAGGCACAAGATAAGAAGAATGAAAAGCAGGATGGCAGATCCTGAGTCTTAATTTCCCACGGCCGACCCACAAGGAAGCTGAGCGTGCAACTTCATCTGAAAAGAAAGGCCTTCGATGCTCGCACCCAGAGCTTAAGGCAAGGCGTCCACCCTGGGCGTCTGCATGAAGACGCCCGCCCTGCCCCCAAGCCTCTGTGGTGCTCTTCGCTAGAGCCAACCGGAGCCAGGCCACACGGTGCCCTCCTCGGCCCTCCACTGGAAAAAGCTGAAGAGGTGGTGAATGTAAAAAAACTCACACCGCCACTCGGAAGGGAAGCTGGCAGCCCCGCAGAGAAAGCAGGCCTCACCCTGCACGAAACAGGATCGTGATGGTCCACCCAGCACGCGAAAGGGGGAGGCCGGCAATTCCCTGAGAAGCCGTCCTCGGGCACAAAGAGAAGGCGCCGTCTTTTTCCCCCTCGAGTTCCAAATGTGGCATGCCCTGGTGCCCCTGCCTCTCCCTCAGCCCAGGGGCACCCGGGGTGGAGGCCAGAGGTGGTGGTGGTGGTGGCGGGCCAAGGGGTCACCTGAGCCCAGGGCTGTTGGCAAGACAAGGCTACGCCTGCCTTCAGTCATATCTTCACCAGAAGACGTTCTTGCGCTGTTTCCTTCTCTGCTTGCTGTGCCAACGGCCTCCCAGGGTAGGGACAGGAGTGGAAAAACTTATGGTCCGCAAAAAAAGCCGTGATCAAGACGGGCAATGCCATTATTCAAACACGAAAATATCTGCCGAAAGGTGAAGCTGTTGAGTACATACGTAGCTGTCGATCGGGGCCAGTAGCTGAACCGGAAAAAGACAGCTTGACCACTCACTTGCAGTGAGAGGGTCCCATGTCGCTGTACATGAACCTACAGCTCTGTGAACTTAAAAAAGACTTTAACAGAGGTTACATATAACCCACCCACCCCTGCCGCCTTCTGAGCTGAAGTCTCTACACATTCCTAAGCGACATCCTTCAGACCAACCTACGTGTGGAACCATTAGTCCACCAGCTTCCACAGAATTGAGCCACTGAGCAAGAGCCACAGGAAAGCATGCGTGAGGCTGGAGCAGAGGACATTCTCGTGAACCACCACCTTGCGAAGCCCACCTCATTCACACCCGTCTTCAGGGCACCCCTCCAGCCCTGCCCAGGGCGGTTCGGCAAAGGCTAGGAACTGGGTCACAGCCCCGTTTCTGCCGCTCTTCCAGACAGTTCTTCAGAAACAACACTTAGAGGCAGGTGGATTCAGCTAACTTTATTAACTGTCAATCTAAAATTAAGGAGGGAAAAAAGAAAACCCCAACAATACCAGGGGCCCCCGTGACAAAGCAGGGACCTTCCAAAGTTCTATGCGTTCATGGATATTTGCTGTAAGAAATGAAAGTCTTAAATTTTGATTTAACCTCTTTTTTTTCCTTTTTTTTTTCTTTACAAAAAGCAGTTTGTGCAGATCCTTACATGAAATAATGAAAGACTGAGGAACCAAAATGAAAAAAACAAACAAAAAAGAAACACTGCGTTCCTTCCCCCCTCCCCCTACAAACTTATTTATATTTAATCTGCATATATCTACAACCCAGCTAGTTGAAATCAAATATTTAGTGTTCATTAGAGCTGTTTCACAGCAGCAAAATATGATGCTAGAGAGACTCAAATTGCTAGACGTAAGAAATTGGTACATACAATCGGACAGCAGTCTATATATTTTTTTTTAATATTGACATTCAAATATATCTGTATTGTGCTGAAGGTTGAAGAACATAAAAATATGATCTGAACAGGCCATCGGAAATGAAGGGTTCTGGAGGTTTATGTTCCCAGTTCTTACAGATGGCGCAATTTGGAACGAGCAACGCTTGCAGTGCCCCCCCCCGTGTGACTCCCGTTCCATCTCACGGGACGTGTGAAGAAAAAGCACGCAGCGTTTCTGCCCAATGCAAGTTTACAGCAGCTTTTTTTTCCTAAATAAGGAATGTCTTAAAAACACAATAATATCCTTTTTTAAAAAAAGTTCTTCTTTATACATTTCAAACTAAAATACTTGATTAAATTAAGGACTCTTGAGGTTAGTAATGAGTGAAATCATACTCTGAAAAGCTCGACTATGTAAAAAATAAAAATTAAAAATTAAGAGGACCACACAATTCTACTTTCTAAAGCAGATAAATCTTGCCTGCAAGTTTGGGAAGGGTCACTAAGCCCATAACATGTGCAAAGAAATGCAATACAAGGAACCATGCAAAGGTACAGGAAAACATGTTAAAGGGGGGAGGGGCAGAAATTATAAGATCTAAACAAACAGAAAGCTCTATAAATACACTGAACTGTAGGGTTAGCATTAGGTATACCACAGAGCAGACAAACGGCACTCGAGCAGGTTCAAATGCTTCCCACATCTGCACAGGTAAGTCATGCCATCTTTGGTTGACTGCAGTCCCAGGAAGGGCGGGCGTGGAAGAGGACAGCCAGGGGGGGCGAGGGGGGGTGGGGGGCGAGGCGAAAGGGCGTCAACTCTCGCTGGGCAGCTGCGCTTCAATGTCTACTCTGCAAATGGGGCACTTCTTGTTCGTGATCAACCACTGATCGACGCAGACTTGGTGGAAGAGATGCATACACGGGAGGCGCCTGGGAACGAACGAGAGCAAACGTAAAGACTCAGCAGGTCATTGGGGGGGGGGGAGAGAGGCGCCTGCTTGGTGGGAAACAGGATGTGCCTCAGTTTACTAAAAAAAAAAGCTTTTGTTTTAAAGTGGGTCCAAAATAAATAAAGAAAAAGGCCGCCAGATCTACCCCCAACGACGACTAGCCCACCCGTTCCCCTCCCGTGAGCTCCAGGCTGCACATAGGGCTCTGCTTCTCCTCACCAACCCCCCCCCTCGTGACGGTATGTCAGGGGGAGGGCGTGTGGCTGGTTCAAGGGCGCCCCATGGGTAAAAGGTCTCCTTCCCGCCATCCTCCTGGCCGGAGAAGTCTCATCACGACACACACACACACCCCGCTCTGGCTCTAGCTCAGACATACAGCCCTCTCTCTGAAAAATGAACCTCCGCTCTGCCAAAGGATCACCTGGTCTAAAGGCTGTGGCTCTGTGGCTATTCCACGACGGACCTTGACTTCAAGGGCAGAGGGGGAAAGCGGGCATGGGAGGAGCGGAACAACCGGGGGCAGCCGAGCGGGGGTAAGTGTTCTCATGGCCCGTGTGACAGAGGGCCATGTGAGGGCCTGAAGGCTGGGCACCCCTGCCCTTCCCTGCAGCCTCTGGGGCAGGGGTGGAATTTCACGGGCAGCACTCAGGAGCGCTGGAGATGTTCCTCAATGGCACACATAGGCAGCGAGGAAGTGGTGCTCTCTCTCGGACCTCACTCTCTAAATGCTCCTCACTCTCCCCCACACCCTGCTCCTATTGCACACGGTGTGCCATGTCGAGTCCTGGCAGATCCCTGGCAGCCGCCACTGCTCACGTGCCTCCAGTCCCACCCAATCAAGTGACACACGGGGTGGGGGGGAGACCAGCCCTTCTGTCCTCCCACCAAACCGCCCTGGGAAGAGCTTTTCGGCAGTGCTCAGAGGCAACATCCAAAGCTCGGCTTTTTCACCAAAGAGGATGGCGAGGGCCTAATTGGCCCTGAGAGCACCAACCGAGAAAGCGCTACCATCCTGTCAACGGGCAGCCTCCAAAGGTTAGGCTCACCGCGTTGCCAGGCGGCAGTTCCCTTGCGGCCTGAATGAGGTGGTGCTGGTCTGCATTTCCTAAAGCATCGGGCAATTGTAATGGTCTATTACGCAACAAGTCTTTAAAACAGCCTTTTCCCTTGCTGCCTGCCCCCAGGCTAGGTTGTTAGTTCTGCATGCCATTAAGCAGCTAGAGTTCCACTTTTTTCTCTTTACCTAACGTCTTCCCCTTCCTCTAAGATCGATAAACAGATGGTGCACTTTTCCTCCGTGTCTTCCTCGGCTCCTTCCTCCCCATCTTGCTTGCAGTGCAGTTTCCTCTGTGAGAACCAATCAGTGGTTACCTTATTAGCAGAGATGACATTATTGGCAAACTGAGTAAGATCTGTTCAATGCACAATTATTGCTTCTATTAGAAATAAAACATCAACAACGACATTTGACATACATCCAACCCCCTGCGGAAGATTAACCAAACGGGGCCAGGGTGCTAAATCATCCTTCCCCAATGCCTGCCTAACCCCGGGCTTCTCTAAGCTCCCTGTGACAGTCATTCTAAACATGGGCTCAACTCTTGATGGCACAGATGCTGATGGCAAGCTCAAAACTTCATAGGTAAGGAGCCAGATAAAAGACAAACCCACCCAAGCAGAGGGTACCGGCAGGAACTAAACTCAGCGGAACGAAAAGATTTATACTGTAGTTCTAGACCTAACATGTGCCCTGACGGATCAACGTCCTGGTACCCATAAACAAGTAAGATGAAGAAATGCGTCATTGGTTAAGGATCTGATCTTCCACAGGACATTTCCAATTGTTTAATGTCCCCAGAGGCCTTGCTCCAGGTGTCAGTTCGTAGGCTCTGGCATGAGAAAAGGAGTAGGCAGACTCTGTCCATGGGGAAAAACACGGCGACTCCCTGCTGCTCCCCGGCCCCATCAACCCCCACTGCTTGCCAGAAAGAAAAGGAGGGGGAGGAGGAAAAGGACACAAAGGCACAATGATGTCAACGAGAGGTGAGCAGGTTTGTGAATTTGGTCAAAAGTCTCCCGGACTCTCTACTGCTGCTGTGGAAGGATTCTGGGGAGTGTATCCAAGAGCCTAAATCTAATCTAACCTCTAATAGGAGCTAAGAATCTGATCAGTTGGCTGGGAAGCAAGAAAAGGACAAGACTTGTACTTTGTGTGCTTCAAAGGGTTTCTTAGTTCTTCCCTGTTTACACGAGTGTCTGGTTTGCTTGTGATTTAAACCATGCACACTTTTAAACCAAAAACCTAATCTTCCACAACGGCTCACTTGGGCAAGCAATTTCAGATCCTAAACCAATGGCATTTCTTAGTATTTTTAGCCGCGCGCGCGCGTGTGTGNTGAGCGTGTGTGTAAAAGCTCTAACAAGAAAACCCTTCAAAGAGAGGGCTATTTTGTGGGGTTGTTGTTTTCTCTCTCTCTTCCATCTATGGACTGGACAAGGGGAAATGCTGGGGAGCGGCCTGCCATTTTCAATCCTGAAAGGAATG